AAGAAAAGAGAAAGACAGGAAAGAAGGGAGGGAGGGAGGGAGGGATTGAGGGAGGGGGCCAGTTTCATCTTCTCTAGATGTAGATTTCCATTTCATGTCATATCTGTGCTAAAATTGGCAGATGTTCACTTTGAAAGTAGAACTGCAAATCATATCAGCCCCAGTACCTTCTCATAATTCTGAAATGAAAGATGACTTTTTCTTGAATTTGTTCCCTTAAGAGAATAACAGCAACCCTGTGACACAGAGAAATTGTTCACATTCCATATTACACAAAATCAACATGAATCCCTTCTGGTTAGAATTCTTTTAAATCTTCAATATACAATTATTTAAATGTTAAATATATAAATTCCAATGGTATTTTCTGATTACCAGTAACATTTCTTTTAATTCCAATACTTATAGATAATTTATCTTAAGTAAAAAGATAGAAGATGGTGTATATATTTAATCTCTAATTTAATGATAGTATGATAGAGTCGTCTACACATTACTTGGCGCTCAATTATCAGGAAGAATAAAAATATGCTCTCCACTTACTTGAAATCTCTAATTTCAAAATTAGAAAGCAAAATATATGCCTGATATTTCTTTTGTCTAATAGAATGGTAGGTTTTGGACAGCCAGTCAATATGAATTGAGCACTAACTATATGCCAGGACTTGAGTTGGTATTGGGGAACTAGTGGCAAACTAATGCCACTAGACTAATGCCCTACACATCAGTCTTTTTCCCTCATGGAATTTTCTCTATAGCAAACACATAATAAAATTAGAAATGATAGAATTGCATGACAATACCTCAAATCCTCAAGTCAGAAAGGAGTCTGAAGAGAGAAAGGAAATGGAGCTATCTTAATGACAAGACCTCCACCAGAGACAGGAAACATCTATCAAGTGAATATTCCAGAGGAGTCAGCAGGGAATAACCCCGATTCTGTCTGGAGAGAATGGTAATGTGGCTGGACAGGTGGAGGAGCAGGTAACAGATGTGGAGAAACCATCATCTCCCCTCTTTCTGCCCGAGAACACCACACTCGGAACCACATGTGAGAGAAACAGAACTTCAGTGGCCAGTGTTGGCCAGAGGGCCTTCCATCAGTCTCTTCTCCATCTTGGTCTTCTCATACGAGCTTTCTAGGATTTTATTGGCGATAGCAGCCTCTTGTATCTCATACAGACAGAATTGGGGTAATTTGTCCCAGATGGTGCATTGACACAGGGACTGAACAAAAATGTTGTATTTCTAGGAGTGAATCGAGGTCTCGCGTTGAATCTCAGAGAATATTTACTGTTGGAGAACCCGTTAGGCGACAGACTGCTTCAGTTCTTTTTTCTCCAGGAAGGAGCTTCCCTGTTACCATAAATAAATCTAGCCGTGGCTAATTTAAGCTTC